ACAACTCTATATAGGGGCCCGCCTGAATGGGCCCGCCTGAACATCGACAACTCGATAATAGGGGCCCGCCTGAATGGGCCCGGCTGAACAGCAACTCAACAGCTCAGCAACTCAACATAGCAACGTCATATGAGTATCTCTGCAACGAGTGGACTGAACTGCCAATATCGTCACTGTGGAGGACTGATCATCAAGGTGTTGTCTATGCAGAGGCCAGTTGCAAAAAACTCGGCGTGCGAACCGGACTGTGCTGATATCATATGTGCAAGAAAAATACCGTCCACACTGGGGCTGATTGTCCATGCAGAGACTGATCAGCAAGAAATCAAATCAGCGGGAGTTGGGGCTAGTCATACCATCAGAGACATCCAGTCACGTCCTCAAGACTAATCACACTAGCAAGGCGCGCGTCCCCAGTTATCATACCGGCGGGACGTGGGAATCATCAGAACGTCAGAGCGCACACTCATATAGCCTACCCGAGCCAGGGTGCACTCATGTAACGATACCAAGCGTGGGCGCGCATGGGGGCACACTCAAATGGCAACACTAAGCTTGGGCGCGCATGGGCGCGCACTCAAATAACAGTTCCAAGTTTGGGCGCACATGGCCGCGCACTCAAATGGCAACACTAAGCTTGGGCGCGCATGGGCGCGCATTCAAGTAACAGTTCCAAGCTTGGGCGCACATTCAAATGGTAATGTCGAGCATAGGCGCGCATGGGCGCACCCTCAAATAGCGATACAACTCGTGGGCGCACGTGAGAGCATACTCAAATGGCAATTCTGGTCATGGGCGTGCATGGGCATGCACTAAAACATCAATGCCGATCATGGGCGCGCATGGGCGTGCACTTAAATATCAGTATCTAGCTTGGGCGCGCATTCTAACAACAATGCCAAGCTTGGGCGCGCATGGGCGTGCACTCTAACAGCAATGCCAAGCTTGGGCGCGCATGGGCGCGCACTCTAACAGCAATGTCAAGCTTGGGCGCACATGGGCGCGCACTCTAACAGCAATGTACAAGATAGCATAGCGGAAGACTTAGATACCAATGATCCGAACAATCAATATTGCAATGCAGCCCCGAACATACATCATCATCATCACTCCATGGTGTGAAGGGGCCTGACGCTCACACAGGAAGAATGCGCCAGTCCCCAACCATACACAGACGAAGAAAAGGGGAAGATGGGAATGTCGTCAACACCGAGTCTTCGGCACAAGCCCAAATAGTCCCTCGTCAAAATGTCTGAATCCCAATGTCGAGTCTGGATCCAATGTCGTCAAGTCTCAAGTCACAACTCTCTCTCTCTCTGT